CCTCGCTCTCTCTCTCTCTCTCTCTCTCTCTCTCTCTCTCTCTCTGGAGGAAACAAGCAAAACAACAAAAGGGTTAATGAGTTTTCTGAACCCAAAAAGGGGTGCACGGGTTTCTTCCTCTCTCTCTCTAGAAGGTCGAGGAGAAACCAGAGAAACACGCAGACAGGTCTACTAGGTTCCTCTGTCTAGAATATAAAGGACAGACCATTAGAAGGCTTGAAACTGGATGAGAAACTGGCTTTCTAGGAAGCCATTGTTTGACTTCATCAACAGATGGCAACTTCTGCACCATGGCGGCGATTCCTTCACCTCCTTTTTTTGTCTCCCTGAACACTTTCTCTCTCTACATTTAGAGAGAGAAACCAACTACCTCGTCAAGAGAGAAAATAAAGTACTTGTTGTAGATGACCGAAGAAAAGGGGTATTTCAGTAATATACTCAGGTTTTCGGCTGAATTTCAATATACGATTAGAAACTTTCGGAGAATTTCGGGCGATATTTCGAGAGTTTACTTCCCAGTAATCCTTTTCTGAACTGAAAAAGACCGAAAAGGACCGGAACCAAAGCATTTGACCATGGAATGGATAGAATTGTAATTTTTAACCTTTAGGGAAATATCTTATATTTTGAAAACATAAATTTCTTTAGGTTAAAATTAAAAAATATGTTTTATATTTTATTAATGAGAAAAGTTTATATAAAGTTGTAACTTTAAAACGTAGAATCACATATGTTGCTCAAATATCCACAGGAAATATTGTTTTAATGTTGAAAAAACCCTCTAATAGATCATCTCAAAACATTGAGATGTATGAACATGAAAAAAAATTAAGTTTTTGAGCTCCAAAAATAGTGCATCTTGCAACACATTATCTAGATTGTTCATTTACAAGATTTTCATATATTTATAGATCTACTTGATTTTAACCATTTTTAAAAATTAAAGTTTTTTAATTAGGTGTCAAAATATATTTTAAAATAATACTAAAAATTTTCTATAAAAAAAATTACATATTATGATAAAATCTTAAAATGTATTATTTAGATTGTTTAATATTGCAAACTTATAGAAACCGCACCCTTTATTAATTCATACTTTATTTTCACTTGAACAACCAAGAGATTTTGCCTTTTGAAAAAGACTCCTAAATAAATTCATTTAAATTTGGCATTTATCTCTCAAAAAAATATTTGAGTGAGGAGACAGTCTTGTGATTATAATTTTGCAAAAGCATTAGTTGCTAAAATTGGTATTTATCTCTTAAAAATATTAGAGTGAGGAGACAGTCTTGTGATTATAATTTTGCAAAAGTATTACTTAGTATTTATCTCTTAAAAACATTTGAATGAGGAGACAGCTAGTACCAGTAATACTATATTTTCCAAATTGTTGGCACTATGTCAGTTTTATTAATTTAATTAAACTTTTAGTTTCTTAATTTATTCATTGGCCGGTGGAGATGATGATGTAGATAAGGTACATAGGTCACTCAAATCATTTCCTTTTTTATCGGTGCTTGTTTATTCATGCAATGACAAAATACTTTATTTATCATAAATGCACATTCGATAGTTTATATGACGTAGGAGTTAATTGAGCTTATTTTGAATTTGTTTTTCTAACTTTTTTATTGTTTTTCTGAAAGTTGGTTTTGAACGTTACATGCTTTCAAAATTAGATATTATATTTCAAATTCTTATTAGACTTCTCGGCATCTCAGTGCAAAATGCGTATATGCATTTGGTGAAGCTATCCAAACATAAAGTGAAAAAATAAAGTGAAAAAGTTTATATAAGTAGGAGGCTCTAACAACCAAATTAGAGCGCACCTCAAAACTTTTACTATAAAAGGTTGTTTTGATGCTCAAATATCTTCAAATTGATTATCTCGACCTCGAAATTACATGAAAGAAAAAAAAATAGAGTCAAATTTTGAAAATATTACATCATGTAACGCATGTTTGGACTGTCAATTTTCAAAGATTTTAAGTTTTTATATATTTGTTCAATCTACATTATTTTAAAAGCTTAAAACTTTATAAATAAAGATGAAAGTATATTTGAAGGCTGTCACAAAGATTTTCAGTATTGAAACCACATTTATCGACACTATTTGAATGTAGGTTCTAATTTGATTGTTTAGAGCCTAGGCTCTATACAAATTTATATATATATATATATATATATATATATATATATATATAAACTAAAACCNTTAAAACTACGGTACTTAGTTAGGTAGTAAGTACCTACTAAGTGTTCTATACTACGTTACGACTACGTACTT